CAACTGACCCTAGGCGAAGAGTGTTTCTTGACAGAACTATTTCTTCATTCAGGCTTGCAACCAAGGCTGATTAGGGTAAGACGTTTTTCTGTGAATTGACGACTGTGATTGAACAGAATCCAAGTAGTCAGTTGCTTGACGAGTTGACGTTCGAAAATTTCGGAAGCCACTGTATCACAAAGCTTTGTTTTATGCAGCGGCACAGAACTTCGTACAAAGTAAGTCGAAACCTGCGAATAAATTGCTTGATAATTCTGCACTCCGCTGGGTTTTTCGTGATAATTCGAACACAAACCCTCAGTTCTGTGCATCCCAATGAACCAACGGGTTCAATTTTCTTCCTTTCCATTTCCCTTGGGAACAGTTGAAGGAAGCATTTTCAATAGTAAGTCGCTCCTTGAAATAGTTGCAATTACGTTATTCAACTGTGCGTTTAATGGACGTCTTTGCCAAAGAAAATAGCACCCCACAAAACTGACAAACTTTGTGTTGTTACAGATACATTCGGTCGCGCAATGAGTACCCTGCAGATGAATTCCACAGCCTTCTACATGTAGTGTTTTGCGACTCAAATTTTCTAAAATGCTTATTTCCAAACATAGTCCTCTGCAGGAGAAAAAGCAGCGGCGTCGGTTTTCGTCCCCGGGCAAAGCCAATTCCGATGTGCCTGGTTATGCTTTGGTTTGTGTGAGGTTCATTCCAGGCCACGCAGTGCAACTTCAGTGAGAATCATGCGACAATTCATGCCTCTTTTTGATTTAGAAAAGGTAGGCAGATTTAACACTTCATGCCCTATTTGATGCCATATTAGAAAATGTAGGCAGATTTAACAAGAATGCACTCGAGATGGAACCAAAAGATTGTGTCTTATGTGTAAAGACATCGTTTTGCTGATGTAAATTGACTCACAAGGACAATTCTAATGAGAGAGTGACTCCTCTACCAGATCATGTTTCATGAAATCGCCCTTCTGCAACAGGACTGGTAAGCTTCACCGTGCCGAGCCAGTTCAATAATCATTCCGGGCAGNGAATCATCGGTGAACGAAACTGTGGCACACAAGATGCACACACAAGATGCGATTTTTTTTTTAGTTAGACAGAAATACGGGTGCTTGTGATTTCAATTGCCCTGTAACAGTTTTTGTTGCTAAGATGGCAGCGAATGCCCAAATAATCATCATTTACGTAGTGATCACCCATAGAGAAAGACAGAATTTGCGGCTTCTTGAGTCGAACGAGAGACTATGTCTTTTCGGTGACTTCGACAATATGAGCGGCGATGCTTGAATGGAGAGTGATTTCCCTATAAAGAATACACATTACGAGCACCTATATTCCGATCGAATGGATTTCCTCAGGGGATTATGGGTTGAAACCAAAAACAAAAAAGTGGCTGGCCGCAATATAGTACTTATTTGCTTGTTTTAAGTATCAACTGGATTAAATCCAGATTTTGAAACTCGCTGGGCCGAAGAACCGCAAATCCTCTGTTCTCAAGATGTCTGTTGCAGGATAGTTACTAATACTGTCAGCAAAATCATACATCTGTAAGCGTTCCAGATCGTTCGGTGAGGGGCACCCGATACCA